ATTCTTTCTTTGCTTTGTTGGGTGTTTTGTTCAATTCTTTGTTCAAAATGCCAAGAATCTGGACAACTTGCAGTCAAGACCCTCTACCAGTAACAACATAACAAAAAACTAGTATCAAAACACAATTTTAACAAAAAAATTTTAAAATGCCAACAAATCAATAATAATGGACCGTAATAAAGGACAAACAGCTCAGTAGAAAAGAGGCAACAGAGGCCGGGCACCGTGGCTCACGCCTGTAATCCCAGCACTTTGGGAGGCTGAGGCGGGTGGATCACAAGGTCAGGAGTTTGAGACCAGCCTGGCCAATATACTGAAACCCCCATCTCTACTAAAAATACAAAAAATTAGCCCAGAGTGGTGGCGGGCACCTGTAATCCCAGCTACTCAGGAGGCTGAGGCAGGAGAATCGTTTGAACCTGGGAGGCGGAGGCTGCAGTGAGTTAAGATTGTGCCATTGCACTCCAGCCCAGGCGACAGTGTAAGACTGCGTCTCAAAAAAAAAAAAAAAGAAAAAAAGGCAACAGGAGATAAAATCTGAATGGCCAATAAAGTTGTGAAAAGACGCTCAGCCTCAATACTACTCAGGAAAATGAAAATTGAAGAAATAATGACATACCGTTTTATATACCTAATATTGGTAAGAACTAAAAATAGCAAATTTTGGCAGGGCTTAGGGCTGTTCTCATACACTAGATACAACTACTTAGGGCAGTAAACTTGCAATTATTTTAATATGCAAAGTTGAAGATATATGTCTTAGTTGTTTCACTTTCATTTTACTCTTTAACAAAAATATCAAGCAACATTCATGGAATTATACTCATTCATCAATGGCAACTATATATTTCTATGGATATGAGAGTTCAGCAAAATCAAAAAAAGTATCTGTGAGATTAATTAGCTATATGGAATTTACAACAGAGAACATTTTGTATTTTAATATTTTTGTAATAAGATGATTCTTTAAATCAGTAAAAAATATATGTATGTCCTTACATACATACATACATATATATAATATATATATAGCTATGGACTGAATTGTGTCCCCCAAATTCATATGTCAAGACCCTAACCCTCATGTGACTGTATATATTTGGAAACAGGATCTTTAGGAAGTAATTAAGGCTAACTTAAGTTATAAGGATGGGGTCCTAATCCGACAGAACTGGCGACCTTATAAGAAGGGGAAGAGAGGAGGAGAGAGATCATTCACTGCCTCCTAAATTGAGCACACAAAAAATGGCAGCTGCCTGTGGCTAAAATGAAACTTACCTTGCTGCAACCTGAATCTTAAACCTCCCAGCCTCCAGAACTGTGAGAAAACAAATTTGTGTTGCTTATGCTACCCACTTTATGGTATTTCATTATGGCAGCCTGAGTTGACTACCATAGACACACACAAACACACACACTGGCAAGTAGACATATAATTCTAAGAAATGTTAAAAAGTGTAAGTGCTATAAAAATATGGAGTAAATGATATGGGAAGAATGCAGAGAAGGTGGCATTTTAGCTCAGCTAGGAGGATGAGTAATCCAGGCTAGAGATTTGAAGGACCTGAACTTGGGCAGGGCCTTAGAAAAAGAGGTTTGTACTGTTTCAGGAGAACCCCATTTGATTTCTTGGCTGCAGCTGACTAGCACCGGGTCTGCCCATGGATACTAGAGGATAACCACACATCTGACAGAGGAAGAGCATTACAGTCTCTTGGTTTTCCAACAGGATGCCAGTTTTCCAACAGGTTGCCACCTTTCCAGTAGGTCCCAAGTCTTGATTCTCAATCTACTGCTCTTCTAATGCATTTTTTTCTACACTCTTCTCCAGGTCTCAGCAGATGACATTCCCTTTCCTACACACCCGTACCTAGTTAGACACCACATCTTACAAGCCACCTCCAAGTCATCTTTCCTCTTCTTTTCCCCAACAACACTACCTCAATCCAGAATCTCGTCACTTCTTTCCTACATGTACGTGTTAACTTAAAACTCACAGGATCTATACATTTAGAAAAGGAGACTTTATTTCTTATAAGGAGATACAGCCTGCAAGGTGGCATCTCACAGGCTGAGAAGCACAGCCTCCAGCAAGGACCAGAGAAAGGCACTTTAAAGGAAGAGGGGCTGGGTAGGAGCTTTATGCTGAATAGGTTGGCTAAACTTACATATTCAACAGGTTATAGGAGGAGTTATGAATATTCATAAAAGTATTTTATGATCCTGATCCATGCGTATGGAACAACATGCATGTTACATACAACCTGTGTTCACCTTGGGGTGAAGACTTAACATTTAATGTGTTACAGTTAGGCCCTGTACATCAAAAGGTGAAGCAGAGATGAAGGCACACAAGTGCATGGCCTCTGTAAAGTGGCCAGAATCAGCCTATGGTCAGTGGCCTTATCTGGAGAAAGTTACTGAAATCAGTCTCTTGTGCAATCAAAGCTGTAGCTATGGTTGGTATAGCAGGGGTTCAGTTAGTGTCTGTAAGCTGGATCAGTAGTAATTGTTTTAATATTGCTTCTCTCTAGGCCGGTGGTTGTTTAGCTGCCAGAGAGTGTGTGTGTGTGGGGGAAACTCTTGTGGCAGAACATAGTTTATTTTATTTTTTATTATTATACTTTAAGTTCTAGGGTACATGTGCACATCGTGCAGGTTTGTTACATATGTATACATGTGCCATGTTGGTGTGCTGCACCCATTAACTCGTCATTTACATTAGGTATATCTCCTAATGCTATCCCTTCCCCCTGCTCCCACCCCACGACAGGCCCCGGTATGTGATGTTCCCCTTCCTGTGTCCAAGTGTTCTCATTGTTCAAATCCCACCTATGAGTGAGAACATGCGGTGTTTGGTGTTTTGTCTTTGCGATAGTTTGCTGAGAATGATGGTTTCCAGCTTCATCCATGTCCCTACAAAGGACATGAACTCATCCTTTTTATGGCTGCATAGTATTCCATGGTGTATATGTGCCACATTTTCTTAATCCAGTCTACCACTGATGGGCATTTGGGTTGGTTTCAAGTCTTTGCTATTGTGAATAGTGCCGCAATAAACATACGTGTGCATGTGTCTTTATAGCAGCATGATTTATAATCCTTTGGGTATATACCCAGTAATGGGATGGCTGGATCAAATGGTATTTCTAGTTCTAGATCCTTGAGGAATCACCACACTGTCTTCCATAATGGTTGAACTAGTTTTCAGTCTCACCAACAGTGTAAAAGTGTTCCTATTTCTCCACATCCTCTCCAGCACCTGTTTTTTAAGTGTAGGGGGTGCATTACTTAACCCTTGCCTGGCATAGCCTTAGGTCCTGTTTATAATTTGGTATCCTATTCCTACAAAGAGTTTGTTCTGTCAATGTTATGATCTTTATTGTAATATTAACATGTTAAAAGTAGATTGACTTCCTAGAACTAAATTGAAAGGAAAACCGTAACTTTCCATGCCTAAGTAGTTGCTAGTCAGTTGTGTCTAAACTACAAAAGGGAGGGGGTATAATGAGGCATGTCTGATCTCCTGTCCCATCATGGCTGGGGTCCCCTTGGCCAAGAGACGGATCTATCCAGTCAGTCGACAGACCCCTGACTTAGGATTTTATTTTTAGTTTATATATAAAAAAATGACTTCACAACTAATTTCCTGACCTTTAGTTTGCCCCTCTGGTCATCCTCCACCCTGTTGCCAGAGAGATCTTTCTAAATCTCATGATGTCACACTTCTGATTAAAATCGTACCATAGTTCTCTGGATTTCAGGGTCAAGTTCAGATCCTTTCCTCAGTACACACCTGCCTGCCTTTCTAGCCCAAATCTTTCACAATCCCCTGACTTGCACCATCATTCTGGTCACACTAAACTAGTCCTCTGGCTATCCTGTTACTTCTTGCAGTTTCTGTTACCCTGTCTGGAGTCCTCTTCCCCTTTTGAGGCAGCAGGATATCGTATAGAGGCAGGGAATCTAATGCCGTTTCTTGCTGAGTTCCTAGAACTAAATTGAAAGGAAAATCCTTACTTTCCATGCCTAAGTAACAGAAGGAACAGACACTACTCCCTTTGCAAGCCCGGACCTGTTCTGCACAGCAGATGGGAAATTCAAAGTACCTCTGATTAGTTGCTTTTTGTAACCAATCAGACGTTTGCAACTTTGTAACTTCACTTCAGCCTCTGATTGGGGGCCACCACTTCATTTACATGAAGTGAACTCCAAGTGGCCAATGGGAAACCTCTAGGGGGTATTTGGCCCCGAGAAGATTCTGTACCCAGGGCCCTTGAACTGCTGTCCAGCGCTCTCACACTCTGGAGTGTACTTTCATTTTCAACAAATCTCTGTTTTTGTTGCTTCATTCTTTCCTTGCTTTGTGCGTTTTGTCCGTTTCTATGTTCAAAACGCCAAGAACTTGGACACCCTCCACCGGTAACACTTTCAGCCAACTTTTTGTCCTTCAAGACCAAGGGCCGGAATTATCTTTTCCAGGAAACCTCCCCAGACCCCTTCTGATTTAGGTACCGTCCTCTGTGCTCCCTGTGATTAAATCAGCCTCTGTACATATTACACAATCACTATGCTCTGATTTCCGTTTATTTGTCTCTTTTTTGCAATCTGTGTCATATTCCTCTTTTTATCCGCCTTGCCAAGTATGGAGCCTGTCACATAGCAGGCCTCATAAATACTTGTTTAAAGAATTAATAGATATAGAACCACAGGGCTTAGTGAGTCCCTGGAGAAAGGGATCAAAGATGTTTCTGAGGCCTCTAAATCAGGAAGTGCAGAAATTTCATGGTTTGAGCATGGGCAGGGAGTATTATTTGTGAGCTGTATTTGACGCAAAAGTTGCTCCCCCTTCCTGATTTCTTAGCTCACTTGGCCAATCGGCGGGTAGGACAGCTGGAGCGCAAATTAGGAGAAAAAAACTACACTTCCCGTCATGCCTCTGGGAACCACTCCCGTTTCCCCCCTTCGTCACCCCCTTTTCCCTACGGAAATGAAAGGAGCACTTCCGGGTTGGGCCATAACCTGGAGCCGGCGGCGTAGTTTGGCTCTCTAGGGCTTCACCCTTAAGCTCCGCCTTCGCTCCCGTCTTTCTGGAAACACGGCTTTGATCTCGGGACAGGTACCTCGCGGCTGCTGCGGGTGCCCTGGATCCAGTAGGCTGCACCGGGCGAGCGAGACCCTTTCCTGGTGGAGGCTCAGAGTTCCGGCCGGGTGAATCCGGCCTGTGTGTGGCGCGAGGCAGGGAAGCCGGTACCCGGGTCCTGGCCCCAGCGCTGACGTTTTCTCCCCCCTTTCTTCTCTCCGCGGTTGCAGCGTTGCAGACGCTAGTGTGAGCCCATGGCAGATACGACCCCGAACGGCCCCCAAGGGGCGGGCGCTGTGGTAAGTGCGAGGGCAGGGTAGCCTGGCTTGATTTGCAAGAGTTAGGAAGAAGCAGGAAGTGTTGCGAGTCCCGAGGCGTTCCAGAAGTGCTTTCAGGACTGGGATTAATGAGTTGGGGTGGGGAAGTTGGAACGGGGAGAGGGGAGGTCCTGAGCGAAGATATGGAGGGAACTACAAGTTTGTTTCCGAAGCGACAATAGACTGACTGCAGCTCGTGGCCCTCACCTGTATGCCATGGAAATTGGGCCTTCTTTCCTCTTCTCACACCTCCGTCTCTTGTTTATCGTAGGCCTCAGGGTTAAAGATGCCACATGAGGTTGTGCCATGACACGCATGATCCATGACACACACCACGTGGAGCACACGGGTGCCGGCAAAGAACGTTTCTGCCTAGTATATACCATTGTATATACAAATTATGCAAAAGGAGGAGAGCGGTGGTCTTTTTCTTCTTCACTTTGTTCTTTATGAAGAGAAATATCATTATGCTTTTGTAAATTTTTTAAGATGCTGATCTGGAACTAACAAGTTATTTGTGCCCGGAGCATTATTGTCCTCTACTTTTTAATCCATAAATAGTTAAGTATTCTTCTGTGTGACCACAATGCAGTTACCACATTTGAGAAATATTACCTAATATAAAGTCCATGTGCAAATTTCCATAATTGTCCTTTAAAGCTGCTTTCTCCTCATCCGGGATTCAGCCAAAAAACATGCATCGATGGCCGGGCACAGTGGCTCACTCTTGTAAGCCCAGAACTTTGGGAGTCCAAGGCAGGAGGATCGCTTGAGTTCAGGAGTTCGAGACCAGCCTTGGAAACACAGCGAGACCTCATCTCTACTAGAAATCAAACAAATTAGGCGGGGCGTGGTCGCTCACGCCTGTAATTCCAGCACTTTGGGAGGCCGAGGCGGGCGGATCGCTTGGGCCCGAGAAGTTGAAGCTGCAGTGAGCTAAGATCGCACCACTGCACTCCAGGTTGGGCTATAGAGCAAAACCTCCTCTCAAAACAAACATAAATTAGCCGGTCTTGGAGGTGCGCTCCTATAGTCCCGGTATAGTCCTAGCTACTCGGGAGGCTGAGGCGGGGTGTGCTGCTGCGCTCCAGCCTGGGGTGACAGAGGGAGACCCTGTCTCAAAAAGCATGCATTAAATTTACTGTCTGTATCTTGTTTACTCCCTTTTAATCTAGGAACAGTTCTGCCCTCTCCTCCCCTTTTTTATCTTTTAAGATACTGATAGTTGTGAGTCCAGACATATTTTGCAGCATATATGTGTATCTATATTATATATCAGGAAGCATTTTACATTGGTTTATCCGATCATTGCAGAGTTTGATTATTTGATTAAGGTGGTGTCCACCAGTTTCTCCATTGTAAAGATTCCTTTTTTCCTTTCTAACTGAAGTGTTCTTTGGCATGATACTGTGAGACTGTGTGAATATTGCTCCTCAACAATTTTTCACCTAAAGATCTAGTGATTTTGGTTTTTTTTTTTTGCCTGAGCTATTTATTAGTATGATGGTTGGACAGTTTACTCTTAAAAAATGTATACCAATACACTTTCTTAAACTTTTAAAATTGTCTAATAAAATATACATAAGCGTGTACAAAACAAAACGCATAGCTCAATGATTTATTGCAGAATAAACACCCTGAACAAATAGATTTTAAGGAGAATGTTCTAAAACTAACTTTCAAACTGTGGTGCACAGTTGTAATATTTGTTGAGAAACTGAGCACAGTAAGCTGGATTCATCCTTCACTTGATTACTGCTAATCATTTCAATTTACTGGAGTCACAGTATGGTAAGTCTGGATTTAATAATACATCCAAGTTGTATTTCATATTTCTGAAATTACCTACATGTGGGTTAAAAAGACATACAATAGAACAGCCTGGAATTTTACAATGTACTTGCATTTTCCCCTCAAATTTTTCATAGTTTTTTTCAAAAGATAATGAAATTAAATTACGTAGAGCAGTGTTTTTAGACTTCAGGTAGACCCGTTAGTGAGTTGAGAAGTCAGTTTAGTGAAAATACCAGCTATTTTTTAAAAATTAAATAGAAAATGTCAAAATCCATTATGTACAGTGGGGTAAATATTGTTTGTGAAACTTTTGTTTATATATCTATGTATATGGATCTCGATATTAAAATTACTTACGAAGATCCTAGACAAAACATGTAAAAGCCACTTTAGAATTTGAATATAAGATACATTTTAATGAGAAAACAAATTTTAAGATTCTGCTTTAGTGGTAATAGACATAGGTATTGGGGGGAAAGCAGCAAAGGAAAAGGCAGAATGCGAAAAAACTGGAGAAGAAAATGGTATACGGATGTTTAATCTAGCACTATCGAAACTAGGGTAAGACTTGGTGGGGGAACATGGAGGTGATAAAGAGAGTGGTGTAATCAGAGAGGCAGGTGGCCATTTAATACCTGTCAGCCGTATTTTGAACACCTACAGTATGCCAGGCTCTTGTGCATGTAGGTAGATTACAAGGCGAATGAGTTCAGTTGTTACTACTATCATGGTTTTATATTTCTTCTTCAAAAGGTTTCTTTAATCCAAACTGGCTTTATGTGATGTTTTACTCAGCTCTGAGACCTACCTATTCAGATTTGAGAGTTTTTGCTAAGAATAGGCATATGGATCTCTTGAGAGCAATTAGTTTTTGTTTAATGTTCTTTTAAAATAGAAGAAGCCAATATTACAAGTATTAAAGGAATACAGACAATTGTAGTTGAATTTCTGTTAAGATTATTTTTTCTAATTAATTAGTCTTTGCATTTTTTCAAATGTCAGCTGATGTTTTTCTGTTTATTTCTGTTTAAGTACTTCTTGTGCTTTCTACATGAAAACTATAAGGTGTTCGGACTTGTCATTAAGCATATACATGAAACATTTAATTGCCTTAGAGTTTTCACCTAATGATCTAAAAAACAAATGGAGCAAGATTAAAATATTTTGAGTAGACATAAAAACCACACAGTCTTGATGCTTAAAAACATAATTTGCAGGCATAGCTTACAGTATTTTTCTTTTTAAATTTAGCAATTCATGATGACCAATAAACTGGACACGGCAATGTGGCTTTCTCGCTTGTTCACAGTTTACTGCTCTGCTTTGTTTGTTCTGCCTCTTCTTGGGTATGTATTATACATATTGCTGCCTTTGATATTCAGTTGTTGAGTCAGTTTATCTGGAATGCCTTTTATGTGTAAGACTTGTTAACCTGTAAAGGGTTCAGGGACAAATAAAATACAAGTTCCAGCCTTAAGATACTAACAACCTAATAACACTGTCAGTTAGAGGAATATTTTATATCTTGTGAAACTAACACATTGAAAATCCAAGGAAAAATTGATGTGTGGGAATGAGATAAGTTCATGTTTTTTTCACTTTTACTTATTACTTGATGGAAGATCCTGCTTTATAAAATTCAGTTTTATAAATTGATTATAAAAAATTCAGTTGGACGTATATATGAAGTGATGCTATTAAAAAGGTAGAATAAGTTCATGTAATTTTTTTCTATTGACAAGTGATTTAGGTGTTGTGCAATTATGATGCAATTCACAAAGGAGGAAGAGACACCGCAGTTGTTTATGTCTCATGATAACCTCTCCTCTGGTAATTTGCAGGTTGCATGAAGCAGCAAGCTTTTACCAACGTGCTTTGCTGGCAAATGCTCTTACCAGTGCTCTGAGGCTGCACCAAAGATTACCACACTTCCAGTTAAGCAGAGCATTCCTGGCCCAGGCTTTGTTAGAGGACAGCTGTCACTACCTGTTGTATTCACTCATCTTTGTAAACTCCTACCCAGTTACAAGTATCCTTTTCTACCTTTTTAACAATGAAATTGCCAACTAAGTATATAGGAGATCTCTTCTGATTATTTCAGCAATGAAGGCATTCCATGAAGTCTGGGTTTGTTCTTGGCACTTCATTTGAATGAAGATATGTTTAGCGTAAGAATTTCTGACTTTTAAAATGTGAAATGTAAACTTTGAAGAGCTGATTTAGGAATTTTAAACTATCTTTGTTCTTGCCTCTTGTAATCTTCTCTGTTAGAATGGATATTTTCAAATTCTGCTTCGAAGTATAAGCTTATGCAGAACTTACTTTAATATTTAAAATTTTTTTCATTTAATTCACATTTTTGGCAAAGTGTCATGTCTTGCTTTAAAAAAGAGAGGTCCTTAGCTCTTTCTATCTTAACCCCCAGTGAACTAGACACAAATGCAATTTAACCAAGAAATAACTTATTTAAGCAGGGAATGAGATAAATCAAAGAAGTTAATGTTTGCTGTGTATAGAGTAGAAAATAAGGACACACATGGATAATCTGTGAAGCTAATGAGAAATAACTCGTTTGGAATTTGTATGTTTTCACATTTCAAAGGTGTGTTGTGGGATGATACTGGGTATTCCATAAAGGAGGGGGAAAAATAGGGAAGAGGTTCTATAGTGAACGCCAGGTTAAACTTTTTTTTTTTTTTTTTGAGACAGGGTCTTGCTCTGTCGCCCAGGCTGGAGTGCAATGGTGCGATCTTGGCTCACTGCACCCTCTGCCTCCTGGGTTCAAGCAATTCTCTGCCTCAGCCTTCTGAGTAGCTGGGAAATACAGGCGCCTGCCACCACACCCGGCTAATTTTTTTGTGTTTTTAGTAAAGACGGGGTTTCACCATATTTGCCAGGCTGTTCTTGAACTCCTGACCTCATGATCCACCTGCCTTGGCCTGCCAAAGTGCTGGAATTACAGGTGTGAGCCACCATGCCCGGCCAGGTTAAACATTTTTAAATAGGTTCTTTACTATAGGGACTTTGGTATTCTAACGTGTGTTGTGAAACTAAAAGAGTTACCAGGGTTTTTTAAACTTAACTGTTTTGGTTTTTTTTCCTGTAGATTATCTCTGCGAATCATTTTGTGCATTGAGAAGTGCTGCTCTGAGAGCTTTTGAATATTATGATACATCTATATGTTATGTAAAGCACAATAAAATATTCCTCTGAGACTGAATATTACCTATTTAGATACTTATGCTCATGAAGTATCAAACTTTTAAATAGATTTTTATAAGTCTTAAGCAAAAGAAATAGGAGGAAACAGAAATTTCCTGAGCACCTATTTTGCCAGTATAAGGACTTGAATTTAGGCCAGGCACGGTAGCTCATGCATGGTGGCACTTTGGGAGGCCGAGGTGGGCGGATCACGAGGTCAGGAGATTGAGACCATCCTGACTAATATGGTGAAACCCCATCTCTACTAAAAATACAAAAAATTAGCTGGGCATGGTGGCACGTGCCTATAGTTGCAGCTGCTCAGGAGGCTGAGGCAGGAGACTCGCTTGAACCCTGGAGGTGGAGATTGTAGTGAGCCAAGATCATGCCACTTGCACTCCAGCCTGAGCGACAGAGCGAGACTCCATCTCAAAAAAAAAAAAAAAAGAACTTGACATTTAATCTTTGTAGCACTCTAAAAAATATACCACTCATTGTGGTATATTTTTAATAAAGATGCTGATTTGCTGATTATCAGTATCCACTTCCCACATATTGGCTAGTAAGTAGTAATGCTGAAAAGGTCTTTCTAACTTAAAAGCCCTACCTGATCTACAGTTAGTGGGTGAGTAACACTTAAGTGTACATTAAAGATATTTCTTTCTCTATGTGGGTAAAGCTGGTAACTTCATTTACATGTTCATTATATAGAGATTCCCTTTAAATTACATGCTTCACTGAGATAATATGGGTAGTTTGAAATGTAAGGATAAAATTTTTCCTGTTTCAATGCATGGGTCTGTAATGTCCCGTCATAATTTGTATTGGTTCATTTTTAGGTAAAACTTATTAAATGATTATTATACTATGACTGTAAATGATAATCACATTTGTTTGGCATATTATTGGCTTGACTGGCCTCTGTTGATTGAAGTGCTTTGCAGTCACCAATGTTAAAATTCTAGACTTTCTGAGCTATAACAGGAAGTTACGTAGAGATTTTTGGTCATGCCTTTTAGTAGCTTAAAATTTCTTCGGAGGGAGAAATAGAAATGACAGAAAATGTGTTTTAATGTCAGGTAAACTGAATACATCAATAACTTTGGGAACAGTGCCTTACACAGATCAGAAAGTTTTGTTGAGTGAATCCTGAGGTCTTGCCAAATGAGACTCATGACTAGTGAAGAAAGCCTTTCTGCCTTTTTGTACAGTTGGTTATTTGGTAGCCCCTCTTTCCTGGGAATGTTGAAGATTAAGGATTTCCTATTCCTTAAATTCTTAAAAAGGGAATGTAGTAAACAGTGGGAATAACATAAACTAGTAATTGGCAGGAAATGCTAATCTGATTATTAAGGTGATATGGTAATAAATAAAAGTGGGCCCAAAGTAATATTACAGACTTGCGTTCTGATTTTTGTTCTTATAAAGGATAACAGGTACTTACGGCATTTCACCTCTTATCTTTTCTAAATACATTGTATTAATAGTTTAAAAGTGATGTTGAAGACTAAGATTATGAATCTCTTAACAAGGATTTGTGAACTATAGAATGTTAGAGATTAAAGACTCATTGGAAATTTCTAGCTTTGATCTCTGCATACTCATTTGCCAGAGCATGAAACTTGGCCTAGGAAAATTAGGTTAGTGACAGAGTCAGGAGTGGAACCCAGGTATCTCGACTCCCAATTCAGGGCTATATTTTCACTACCTGACACTGCCCCTTTTATTGAATTCAGTCTGGATATGCGTCAAAGTTCGAACTGAATTCTTTAAGGATCAACAGAGTTTTATAGTGACTTTAGGAGATAGTTGTAGCTTCCATCAGTTTCAAAGTAGTCTATGATTCATTAAAAATTTTAAAACTTTTTATATACATATATGATCCCTACTTAGGAAATGGACATTTTTCTTAATTCTTGTTAGAGGTGGGAACAAGTTGGTCAGGATATTAATTTGGAAAACTATGTTAGAGAGTTATGGTTCTTCTAATACTTGGATATAGGTTGGTGTCTTGCTTGTCAGTTGGAAACTGGGTCCCTTGGATTCCTAAATGAGTTATGGTTATAATGAATTTGATACTCAGATTATGTTATGGCAATCACCATTTCCTGTCATATCAGGCCTTCAGTTAGTATGGAAAAATACAATGGTTCATTTCTTAGGAACTGCTAATATTTTTAGGACAAGTATTTTGCCATTTGTGATTGACTAACAGTCTATATCATTTTGTGGAACTACTTGACAATTTTTTTTTTTAAATCAACCTGGTAGAAATTGGGGTGGAGAATGGGGTCTTTTGAACAATTTCCATTTTACAAAAAGCTGAATGAAAAATATGTTTATTCATGGCATAAAGCCAAACAGTTGGATTCAAAAGGATTCTTTCCTTATGTCTGTAATTAAGCTGTTAAGAGTTTCAATTGACTGTATACAAAGCAAAATATATACTGCCATTTTAATTTTTACAAATTGAGAGCATAACTGTAACAACTTGTTAGGTGGTATAGTATCTCAAAATTTTAGAGTCTTTGTAGGAAAGAAGTAATAAAAGATCTTTAGTCTTCGGGACTAAAAATTTGTGAATTACTCTTTAAACCATTACCTTAGACTCTTTCCTCAGTATTTGAGATTGTGAAAGCACTATAAAACTACTGTGTTTGAAGGGTAAGTTAGAGTGACCAAGAAAGCCGTTGTAGGGTTAAAAGCTATACTTACAACCCTTTGGGGTTACCTAGATTTCAATTTAATTTAGCAAGTGTTTAAATTGTTACCCAGTAGAAATGAATGAAAAAGCTTTTTCACTATTAATTTTTGTCATAAAAAGAACTGTGAATTGGCTGGGTGCAGTGGCTCACACCTGTAATTCCAGCACTTTGGGAGGCCGAGGTGGGCAGATCACCTGAGGTAAGGAGTTCGAGACCAGCCTGGCCTACATGGTGAAACCCTGTCTCTACTAAAAATACAAAAATTAGCTGGGCGTGGTGGCAGGTGCCTGTAATCCCAGCTACTCGGGAGGCTGAGACAGGAGAATCGCTTGAACCCAGGAGGCGGAGGTTGCAGTGAGCCAAGATTGCGCCCCTGCACTCCAGCCTGGGGGAGAAGAGTGAGACTTCATCTCAAAAAACAAGCAAAGAACAAACAAACAAACAAACAAACCTGAATTTTAGAAAATGAAATAGTTTACTTTCTTCTTTATAGTTAACAAAATTTGATTTGGCTTAAAGTGTATCAGTAAAACAAACCATTCCACTGAACTCATTTTAGCAGATGTTTCAGATCTGTATATTTGGACATAATACATAGTCTGTTTTGCAGAATACTTGATGACTTTTAAATGTTTTCCTTAATTGTTTTCTTTAGTGAGTATCTTCCCAGTCTTGTTATTCTCTTTGCTTCATGCTGCCACATATACGAAAAAGGTCCTTGATGTAAGTAAAACTGCTGCTTGTCTGACTTCTGAATTACAGATCATTGACATGAATTCTCATTCTAAGACATTTTGGTATTTGTCACAAAAAGTCCTTCCATTCCTTACAAACTTGTTATGAATTATTTAGTGATTTGAAAGTTTTAAGTTTAGAAATGTTTATTGAAGTTTCACAAACTAGAACATTTTATAGATAAAGGATTGCACTTAATATCACCCCCCGGTCTCCAGGGGACTTTTTCAAGTTTGAAATAGATCTATTTTTTTGAAACCTGTGTCTCTAAAGTTTGTTGAGTTGTCAGATCTCTTGTTCTGTCAGTGTTTAATTCTGGCATACCAGATAAGTTGAGTGTACTGAATAAATCTCTTTTACATTAATTTTCAGAACTGCTGCTTTCCTGAAATTCTTTCTTATTGCTAGGTTGGAGCATTAAACCTAACTTGGCATCAGGCCATTGACAGAATATACTGAAATTTGAATTAAAATATCCAGGCAAATTTACCAAGCACATTTACAGTATATATACTGAAATTTGAATTAAAATATCCAGATTTATGCTTTGTATTGGCCTTTTTCTTTATCCCTGTAATTCTTTGGTCACAGCAGTAATTACATTGCTGTATAATTCCAACATTAGCTAAGGAAGGAGTCACAGATATTTTAACTGTATTACTGGATAGTCAGATTTTGTCATGGTTAGAGAGAAATAACCACTATTTTTTGTTAAATAATCATTCTTGAGAAAAAGCAGCTAAGAATGAAAAGTACTTTTACCAAAGTTGTTTTTTATATTAAGTCTAAATATATGAAAAAGCAGGAAAAATACTATATTTGTCCTTAAATGGTTTGTGAACTTTGTACCATCATTTCCAAAGTAGTATATTTGATTGTATTGCCTGTTGGATAGGCTATTTACTTACAGAAAGAAAGTATTTATTGTTATCAGAAATGCTTCACTTATTTCTAATGTTGGTTTTCTTTTGTTTTAGGCAAGGGGCTCAAATAGTTTACCTCTGTTGAGATCTGTCTTGGACAAACTAAGTGCTAATCAACAAAATATTCTGAAATTCATTGCTTGCAATGAAATATTCCTGATGCCTGCCACAGTTTTTATGCTTTTTAGGTAAGGAAAAATTGTATTTGTTTTGGGAGGCTGATGAATACACGTAATAAAGGTAGAAACTCAAGTTTTATTCTGTTTAAATCTGTTGAAGGTAGGTATTGACATGTAGAGCTAGATGAATCTTAGCAGTCGCCTAATCTAACCTTTGTTGTTTATAGTAGAGAACTTGAAATATAGTAGACCTAGGAATTTGTCTTATTTCTTGTGATTTATCATTTAACATTTTAAAAATTACTTTCATAGTTACCACCTTTGAAAGAATCTTATGAAGTCTAATCTAGTCCATTCTGTCACTATTGAGATGATGTTTCTTACACTAGAGAAAAACTTTTAAAATTATGTTCTTATATTAATAGTGACTACTATCACCTTATTTTGTTTGTATCTTAATTATAGAAGTAATACGTGAATAAAGAAAGCCATCCTTTTAAAAGTGTGAACATTAAGATAGTATTGACCTCTGCATTGAAATTCTTGCATTACATTTTAAAACAATAAACCTTGCTACCCAGATGATTGCTTTATCAATTTTTAGTTTTACAAGTAAAGAGACATTACAGATAAAAGCTAAAATAACATTTGACTATATGAATCCTAGTTGCAATTTTGTCCTCTTCCCAGAGGTGTAAGGAGTTTAATATGTGTCTTACGTATGTAGTCCTTTAAAAATACTTATAGAAATTTGTAGAACATATATATTGTGGATGTGGAGTTTTGTTGGTTAATTTGTTTAGTTCTTATTTTACATCAAAGATGTTATTCTGGCTAGGCATGGTGGCTCACACCTGTAATCCCAGCACTTTGGGAGGCCAAAGTGGGCGGATCACTTGAGATCAGGAGTTCAAGACCAGCCTGACCAACATAGTGAAACCCTGTCTGTATTAAAAATACAAAAATTAGCTGGGCATGGTGGTACATGCCTGTAATCCCAGCTACTCGGGAGGCTGAGGCAGGAGGATTGTTTGAATCCAGGAGGTGGAGGTTGCAGTGAGCTGATAACACGCCACTGCACTGCAGCCTGGGCAACAGAGTGAGACTCTGTCTCACCAAAAAAAAAAAAGGTGTTATTCTGTACCTTTTTCCCCCTTGTATGTTTTCATAACCTATTTGATTTGGCATATCCAGTTCTGTTTTTTTGTTTGTTTGTTTTTGTTTTTTTTAAAGCCATATAGAATTCCAGCTTATCTCCTGATCATGGAAATTTGTTTCCAAATTTTTAGTTTTTCAAATATTGACCAGTAAATATTTTTTACCTGCTTATACTTAATGCCAGTGTTTTCTTTAACATAGATACCAGAAAAGATTTTGCTAAGTACAAGCTAGGTGCCTTTTGTGTTTAATGGACCATGCTAAATTATTCTTTAAAATGTCTGTGTTACCTGTTTTTCATAATCTTGTTAGTTTGTAACAAACTGTCATTATTGATTTTATAGTTATATTTTATAATTTTAAATGTACCTTGCTTGATTAACTAGTGAAGTTTTCATGTACTTGACAATTACTTCTTTCCATAGCAGTCTCTTCAAACTAAGAACAGAGTTTTATAGATTTCCTTATAAACGTATATCTGTTTCATTCTTTTAAGTGGTGCTTTCTTCTGAGAACTCCAGGACTGGCAGGTGTTGCTTAAGTTGTGTGGTCCCAACTAGATTTGATGCAGTTGTATTTGTAAATTAACTCTAAAACCTTGACCCTAAAATTTAGTAAAAGCCTTCTCTTCTCCTAGAAGCTGAAAGCATATAAAAGAAAAGGGTAATGTAATCTGGAACAACAGAAAAAGGGACAAGATCAACATTCTAATATTTTTCCTATCATTTATAGGTTTTTCTTTTCACCTCTTTTGTGATCCTGATCTACACTTAGAAACTTTAATTATTAATTAGGAAAAGGAAATTTTTGCCCTTACTTTTTTTATTCATTTTTCTGGGGTTTTTATGTCACTTAATCCTGCTTTTGGGTCAGACCAGGTTCTGTGATTTGTTTCATGTAACTAGATGGAAGTTAAAATGGTAGATACCAGGCCGAGCATGGTGGCTCACGCCTGTAAACCCAGCACTTTGGGAGGCCAAGGCGGGCAGATCACGAGGTCAGGGGATCGAGACCATCCTGGCCAATATGGTGAAACCCCCGTCTCTACTAAAAATACAAAAATTAGCTGGGCATGGTGGTGCGCGCCTGTAGTCCCAGCTACTCAGGAGGCTGAGGCACAAGAATTGCTTGAACCCTGGAGGTGGAGGTTGCAGTGAGCCGAGACCATGCTACTGCACTCCAGCCTGGTGACAGACCGAGACTCTCTGAAAAAAAAAAAAAAAAAAGGGTAGGTACTGAGACTAGTTTTTTTATGTGGGTATAATTGATATCTATATTCTGAAACCTCCAGATTCTGTTTAGTAAGCAAAATAATTTCTTATGCTCCTGTTAAATCAGATTAAGATAATTTTAATGAAATTCTGAGATGCCATGCAAACTTAGACAAAGACTTCACTTTGGAACGATAGTGAATTTTTTGTTAGGAGCACCAGGTTTTGACTGCGTTGGTACGTTGAGTTGTGCTCCTTAAATGTTTAATTTAAACGTTTATTTGTACAAACTTACTGTCTTAATTTTTAAGATTACTGTAAAGAAGATGAGACTTTACCAGAAATGTTTAAATAGAGAAATCATTTTGTTTGTTTGAAAAATTAAAATCAGCTTATACTTCCTATTAGGAAAAGCTGTTAATGCCTTAAGTAGGTAGCTTGAATATAACCTAAATAATAAAATTGAGAACAATCTTACATTACTGCTATTCCTAATATGCTACCCTTTGTGGTAGACACACAGTCTAATATTAGGAGGCTTTATCAAGTTGTATTTGCACCAGTAATGCTTCAAGCTCTGTATTTAAAAATTGATGCATAGTCTATGAGTTATCTTACATATGCATTGTGCACGTGTGCAAAGACAGATAAAAAGATCATTGTAGGCCGGGCGCGGTGGCTCACGCCTGTAATCCCAGCACTTTGGGAGGCTGAGGTGGGTGGATCACGAGGTCAGGAGATCGAGACCATCCTGGCTAACACGGTGAAACCCCATCTCTACTAAAATACAAAAAATTAGCTGGGCGTGCTGGCGGGTGCCTGTAGTCCCAGCTACTCAGGAGGCTGAGGCAGGAGAATGACATGAACCCGGGAGGCAGAGCTTGCAGTGAGTGGAGATGCTGCCACTCCACTTCAGCCTGGGAGACAGGGAGACACCGTCTCAAAAAAAAAAAAATATATATATATATCTATATATATATATCTTTGTAGCTTTATTTCTAATTGACTGGAGCCACCCAAATATTCATTAGTAGGGAGTTTGTTACATAATAGTCCAAGCATTAGATGGTATATTTGAAGCTGTAAAAAAGATTTAGGTAATTTATGTATTGTGATATGGGATAATCACCAAGATATAATAAGTTAAACGTAGTTGTGTAGGGTATTCTCCATTTATATTTGTGGGGCATGTGTGTGTAAGGACATAGATATGTTTCTGTCTCAGTTTTTTGGGAATGATAAACCATCTCTGTCCTAGAGTTGTTAAACAGATTTAGTGAATTATAAAATGAGCACTATCTTAGTGTTAGTCATTATATACACTTGTATATATACATTTCTGAAAGGACATATTTGAGACTGTGGTATAAGTTTGAGGAAAGGGCTAATTTGTATGATGGGAAACTTGTTTTTTAAGTGAATGTTTTCTATTTCTATTTTCTGTGTTGTGTCTCTTACATTTACACTTTAAAAAGATAAAAATTTGTCAAATTATTGGGGAAAATGGATGTTGCATTTGTTTAGCGGTAAGTTTGTAATCGTGTAAATTATTTTTGTTACGAAAGTAATACAATTTAGAAGAAAAGGCTAAAAAATTAACCTAATAAAACACATTTTGCATCTTGATATATTTCTTCCAATTTAAAAAATATAGTTGTAATAATATGTATAGTTTTATATTCTGCTTTTTTCAAAGTTGCTATGTAATTTTCATAACCAAGATTCTAGGTAGTTGCATGTTAAATCTATTAAATAACCGTAATGTAAGTTGTTTAATTCTGCTTCACCGTAATGTAAGTTGTTTAATTCTGCTTCACATTAGGTTGTTGCCACATTTTGTTTGTAGTTATTTCAGTGAATGTCTTAATTCAGATAGTTTTTCTTAGGGAAGAATTCCAGACTTGGTATTTCATAAACATATATATAATTCTTGGGGTATTGTAATTGTGTTTTTTAACCAAGAACAATAATTAGTATAGGCTATGTAGATTTACTAATGAGCCAGTGTAATTTTTGTGGTTGGCGGGGGAGTGTTTGTTTTTTTTAATATATATAAAATAAGTCACTTTTTATTTGCATATTTTATGAAGATTTACAACTTGATTTCATCAATTAGTAATTATGGAAGTATTTATGTAACATTTTCTGATTTATTTGGTATTTTAAAAAATTTCAAAAGTGGTACATACAAGAATACATCTGTAAAAATTTAACATTTTACTCTTTACCAATCATATACATTCTTTTATATCCAAAGATAACTTGGATTTAGACATGATAGATTTCACTATGACCATTTGATGAATGAAGATACACATATTCTCCAGTTGAATTGCCTTTAAGTTTTGAGAGCATACACATGAATTAATAATGTATATTTATCACCCTTGTATTTTTTTATTTCAGTGGTCAAGGAAGTTTGCTCCAACCTTTTATATACTATAGATTTCTTACTCTTCGATATTCGTCTCGAAGAAATCCATATTGTCGGTAAGCTGATGATTATTTTATGCATGTTTTATTTGTTGAGAGTATTATGAATATATAGTATTTGTAATTCTTAAGAGTTACTTAGCTAATGTGTTAGAATTTAGAAGCAAGCAGTGTTTCGGTAATTTTAAGTTGTAGGCCTTAGAATGTACTGGGGTTGGTGAGGAAGTGGTTGTATTTCTTTTTGGAAACATAGACTGCAGTTATCTAAGCCACCTCTACAGCACTGCTAAAACTTAGCAAATTTTAAAATATGTAGGACATAGGTTTCATTCTCAACTTTCCTAGTTGAAGGAAGAAAACACATGTCAATTACATAAACAATGATTAGGATACAGTATTCACTATCCAATAGGTAATGAATGCCATACGTTTGCTTTATTATATCAGTACTGCAGTCCATAGAAGGGAGATATCATTGGGCCAGAAGATAGATGAGCCCAGGAAGGTTTCACAAAATTAAGATTGTGGGAGGAATAAAACTTTTGAATAGTGAAAATAGGGAAAACCATTTTAGGTGGGGAAATAGTAGGAGCAAGAGAGACGAGAAGCACAGGCCATATTTGAGGAACTTTATTTAGAGCTGTTTTGACTCTAATGGAGATTCCGAATGGTGAATTGCTGGAGCTAAGATTAGAAAGGTATATTGGAGCCATATTATAAAACTTCTTGAGTTTTAGGGTAAGATGTTTGGAATTTATCTTTTAGGTGAATGGGAATGATGGTTTTGACATGGTCAGATATTCTTCTGATAGCCTTGTGCCAGAAGAGTTTGAAGCAGAAAAATGGGGAAGCAGAGAAATTTTAGGGAATTACTGTAGTTTTCAGGAATGGAGGCTTAAATTAATATACACTAAATTATACATTCTGATCTCAAGCATTGGAGTAAAACTAAAATGAATAGATGTTTTTAATAGCTTTAAAAATGATACTCAGATACTAATATTAACATAGTCTATTTTCAAGTTTAAAATAATGGAGTAGAATTCAGCCAGAAATCCAATAAGTGCATTACAGCAATCTGTACATTATATTTTCATGAGTACAGTAAAAAGAACTTGAATTTGAATGCTGATCCATCATTAACTAGTTGTGTGAGTAGGCAAGTTATTTAAATTTGGATTTCTTCACTGGTATAGGAAATAACTCCTTCTGGGGGTGAAGTGAAGTAATATTTTAAAAGTACTTCGACTGTTACATTCTTACTAGTTTATTTTTGTTATTCTATGATCTGATTTTCCGTTCAGAGTGTTTTTGTGCTAATAGACAATGTCTTTTTTATAATACTTTCTAAAATAGAACTTACTTTAGACATTCGTTCTTAATGAGTCTGTGGTAGCAAATTAACATTCATTTTTACTTGATTTCATGAGTTTTAGCCTTTTTTCTTTCCGGTCCCTATATTCATTTCAGACATTATGTTATAGTTTTTTGCCCTGACATCTGTTATTTTAATCAGCACATTTGTTTTTCTGTGCTTCTTTGTGCCTCCTTCGCCATTCCTATTTTCTCCATATACCCTTAAATCATATTAGTACATCTAGAATTTAGTTTTCAGAGGACTGAAAAGGAAAGAATAGCGGTGAATCAAGATAACACAAATATGTGCTAGTAAACATCTTCAAAGCTCTCTTACAAGCACCCATTTTTTTTTTTTTTTTTTTTTTTTGAGACCGAGTCTCACTCTGCTCCCCTTGCTGGAGTGCAGTGGCCGGATCTCAGCTCACTGCAAGCTCCGCCTCCCGGGTTCAGGCCATTCTCCTGCCTCAGCCTCCCGAGTAGCCGGGACTACAGGCGCCCGCCACCTCGCCCGGCTAGTTTTTTTGTATTTTTTAGTAGAGACGGGGTTTCACTGTGTTAGCCAGGATGGTCTCGATCTCCTGACCTCGTGATCCACCCGTCTCGGCCTCCCAAAGTGCTGGGATTACAGGCTTGACCCACCGCGCCCGGCCAACAAGCACCCATTTTAATCAAAACTATTGGAAAGGTAATGGAAAATATTTCAACTTGTAAATATTGATAAACAGGCTATAAAACTATATTTTCAATTCTACACTTTTTTAAATTAAAGGTTTTGAGACCATCTGTATTCACAGTTTGTACCATTTTCACTATGATATTTATTCTCAAGTTGGTGGTTTCAGTTCTTTTTGGATATCTAGTACAGATTGTCTATAGCTGTGCTGTCCAATACAGCACAGCAACCACATTTAACCATTTAAATAAAATTCATAAAACTTAAAACTCAGTTCCCTTGAGCACAGTTCACGTGGGTACTCAAAAGCCATATGTTGCTGGTGGAAACTGTGAGTCAGCACAGATATGCAAAAATTTTATCATTGCTCAAAGTTCTCTTGTCAGTGCTATTAAGGAACTCTGTAACTTGGTCTGTCAGCAGAGATATGCAACAATTTTATCATTGCTCAAAGTTCTGTTGTCCGCGCTGTTAAGGAACTTTCTGACTTGGTCTGTGCCAGTGATGCAGCCAGTAATAAAAGAACTAGCTATGTGACTTTAGTGAAAATGATTGACTTCATTAGTCCTCATATCTTCTAGCTTTATTCATTTGACTGATTGGTTAAAACAGGGATTGTATGTTGATGAACTTATGTGGAATTAAAATATCTTCTTTCAGAGGTATTCACTGCTGAGTAAATTAGACAGCTATGTAAGTCAGTGTGATGATGAAGGTGCTCTGAAAGTATAGAGAACAGACAGAGACAAATGAGAATTCACTGAGGAGGTGGGGACATAAGCCAAATCTTTAAAGAATGAATCTGAGTTCTGACACATGGGTGCCTGAAAAGTGCTTAGCATACTTGAGCTCAGGAAGTATATAGAGGATTGATAAATATTTCTGTCCAGAAAGGTAGATGGTAGAAAGCACTACATCATGAAAGGGTTTGGATTTTATTTTGAGATAAGGAGAGCCTTTGAAGATTGTAACATGGAGAGATTGGGAACCCCCATGATGAAATCTGATTTAGAAATATTCCAGAAAATGGATTGCAAGCTCACCAAGAGAAGAAAAATACCAATTTGGAGACTGTTAGAGTAGTCTAGAGCCTGAACTAATCCAGTGGTAAAAAGGAAAAGGGGACAAATATGAAAGATATTAGGAGGTAGGATATTAGGGCTTGAGAGAAAAGAGTAAGTTAAAGACCCGCGGGTTTCTGGCCTGGAAGCCTAAGAGAGTTGTAATGGTGCTCTCACGAAGACAGGAGATACAGGAAGGTCAGGTTTTGGAAAATTATGCATTACTCCAAATATTATTTCTGTCTTTCTGTGCAAGCATATTGACTACTTGTTTAGAAAAGTAATTTGTTGCTTTTTTTCTAACCATAAAAGTAAAAGAGGACACAGAAAGGTAGAATAGGAGTTGCATCTTTATACAGGATGAGTCAACACATAAGGTGAAAATTGTGAATGATTAAAATTACCTTTGATGATCCTTCATATCACTTATAAATGTCAGTACAGTATACATGATTTTGTGTATACTAGCCTGTATAATGTATGTGATGTGTACAGTATGTAATAATACTTTGTAGGCAGTGAGCACAATTAAGGCATAGGCAAAGCCCACATGGTTTTGGGCACAAACATGTAACATAAGTCCATGATAGGAGCGAGGGCAGGGAGTGGCAGGAGATAGGACAGAAAATTAGATGGAGACTAGATTGTGGAGGGTATTGGGTGTTATGTTGAGGACTTGGGCTTTAGTCTGAAGGCATAAAAGAGTCATAGTTCAGTGTTATGATCCAACTGGGAAGTTACATTTACTGAACATCTGTGTCATATTTAAACTTCACCACAACTCAGAATTATTTTACAGAAGAGGAAATCTCTGAGGGGAAATATGTACATTTAGGGAAATAGTAGGTGAATAAGTATATAACAGTGCCCATGTTATATATTTTTTCTTGTTCTCTTTTAAAAAACTAGTTGAAATTGCGTAAGTTAAATGTGAAAATGTGACTCTAAAGACAAAATATATAATTTTAAAAATATAATCTGAGGTTTTAGAGCTAGCCATTTATTAAATACCTTTGTTAAATGAGTGTTTCCACCCATAAAAGATGTAGATGTTGAGTTTGAGAATTTCATTGTGTGTATTTTGTGTTTTCTCTACAATGAATTCTAGTTTTTCTTTTACTTCAAATTCTAATGGCTGTGATATATTCCTTCATCAGCATTTGTTTAGCATTAGAGGCATACTTCAGAAATATCGTGGGAGTGGTTCCAGAACACCACAATAAAGTGAATATCACAATAAAGCTGTCAGATGAATTTTTTGGTTTTCCAGTGCATACAAAAGTTATGTTTGCACTCTACTGTAGTCTGTTAAGTGTGCAATAGCATTACTATCAGCAATAAGGCTGTTTTGCTTTCTTATCATTCATCCGTTCACAGAAATAGCACTTTTGATTTCCTTCAGGAACTTTTCCTTTGCATTCACAGCTTGGCTATTTGGCACAAGACGTCTAGCTTTTGGCCTGTCTTGGCTTTAGCCATGCTTTTTTCACTAAGCTTAATCATTTCTAGTTTTCATCCAGAGTGACAGACATGGGAGCCCTCTTTTCACCTGAGCACTTACAGACCATTGTAGGGTTATTAATTGGCTTCATTTCAATATTGTGTCTCAGGGAATAGGTGGGTCTGAGGAGAGGGAAAGAGACCAACCAGGAATGGCCTTGATTAAGTGCTTTGTCTTATATTTGTGCAGTTTGTGGTGCCCCAAAACAGTTATAATAGTAACACCAAAGAGCATGATCACAGATCACCATGATAGATACAGTAATAATGAAAACATTTGAAATAGTGGGAGAATTGGCAAAGTGTGACGCAGAGACATGAAGTGAGCACATGCTGTTGGAAGGTGGCGCTGATAGTCTTGCTGTATGCGGTGTTGCAACAAACCTTCAATTTGTAAAAAATGAAATATCTGTGGAGTGCAATAAAATGAGGTAAGCCTGTGTATTGCTTTTTCCTTGTGTTTCTCAAAGAAAACTATTTTATCTTGCAGGACCTTATTTAATGAACTGAGGATTGTTGTTGAACACATAATAATGAAACCTGCTTGCCCACTGTTTGTGAGAAGACTTTGTCTCCAGAGCATTGCCTTTATAAGCAGATTGGCACCAACAGTTCCGTAGTTTAACATCTAGTTAAGCTACAAATATAGTATAAGCATTATTAGCAGCTGGTACTTCTGCTAGGGGTTGTAAATTCCAGGTGTTACACTGACCTCAATCCAATTTACATAATTTACATAAATGCATCTCAGTGGAAAAATAATCATTTTCTTGGCATGTTAAATCAAGCTTAAAAAGTTTTGAGAAAATTTTACTGCGCTGTGTTGCTAATGGTTAAAAAGTCTGTATCTAGTGATACACATACCAATTTTTTAAAAAAGATGCTGTTGTGCCTATATCATGAAGTACATTTATTTCTCTTGTAAAAATAGCTCTAAAATTTGTTTCAACCGAATTGGTAACCTGAGTTTATATCTGGCATGAGTTCATTATGGTCATAAACATATGTGAATTCAGTACATTTTGAGACAGTATTCTATCATTCAGTAATTTTGGTTAACGATTTTAACACTTCTCCGTGTATTTAATTTCAAATTGTTTTTTAATTGCTTTTATGCTGCTTTGTTAGGACAGATGTGTTTTGAATGTACTATTATAAGAAGAATTCTGTGTATCTTAAACTACGACCTTCTAAAATTTTATTTCCATAAGTACTTCTGTGGCCTTGAGTATTTTTTAAAAGGCTCAACTGTAAGCCTCTTAGCCAACTGGATAAATATTTGGGGTCACCTTGCCATTGAAAGCAGAAAGCAGTTGTGACACAGCTTTCCCTTCAGAGAGCCATTGAGAAACAGTTCTCAAATAGGAAATCCTTCTTTTACTAATGCGGACATATAGATTATTCGTATTATAGTTTGTAGAACTACCTAGTTCAGAATCTTGACTGCCAGTTTTCTTGGTTTCTTAGGCTTAAATTTTCATTGACCATTGAAACAGTTTAGATGCCTTTTGAAAGGAATGTAACGAAGATTTAGCCTCTGACTATATGTGTGTCTCTTCTGAAATAATAATGGAGAGTATACTGTAGATTACATGTTTACCCATCAAATCTGACTTAAAAGGTTAAATGGAAGGTTTTATAAGTAAGGTAATTGATTGGAATGGAGTAGGGGGAGGAGTTGTGGGGGAATAGTGTGCATTTCAGTCTCTTAATGCATAGATAAATTTAGGGGAATTGGATGTATTATGCCACTTTGATTTGGGTTGTAAAATGTGTTAAATCCTGTTCATTGAACTCCCATCAACTCTTTTATAAAATACATGCTGATCTTCGTTACCGTTGCATGATTGGAAATGTTTAAAACATTGTACAGTTTTAGTACAGAGTAGTGTAATGGTTTTTGTGACCAGTTTTTTTCTGCATGTAATTTGAATTTCTCAAATACATTCATTAGTAATTTATCAGTAACATTAGTTTTATTTTTGTTCATCTTCCTAATCTATAAAAAGGGGATATTCTTAGGATAAATACATGAAAAATTATACTTGATAGCTTAACTATAATCAGCTATTTTTGTATTTTTGTAATATTTGTCCACAAAGTTGGAGAAGCAGCCTCATAATATACAGTTGATTTTGTGTGTATGTGGCTAGTCTTATTGTCACTGTATAAGTAATCTAATGGTTTTAGAAACTAAATTTTCTAGAGCAATAAAATGACTATAATGTTAAGTAAACATTGATTTCTAATTATGTTTTTAAAAATGAAGTCTTGAATTATGTCAAGAAATTTTGGCAGCTGAAGGCTTTTCCTATAATTTAAAAAAATCTTTTAGATTTATAGAAGAGTCAGAAATGTACAAGAGAGGTTTTTTGTTTTGTTTTTGTTTTTTGAGACAGAGTCTCTCTCTGTCGCCAAGGCTGGAGTGCAGTGGCGTGATCCTGGCTCACTGCAGCCTCTGCCTCGCGGGTTCAAGTGCTTCTCCTGCCTCAGCCTCCCAAGTAGCTGGGACTACAGGTGCACGCTACCATGCCTGTAGTCCCAGCTGTATTGTAAAAATACAAAATTTTTGTATTTTTAGTAGAGATGGGGTTTCACCATGTTGGCCAGGATGGTCTCGATCTCCTGACCTCGTGATCTGCCTGCCTTGGCCTCCCAAAGTGCTGGGATTACAGGTGTGAGCCACCGCGCCTGGCCTAGAAGAGTTCTTTTGCATACCCTTTACTCAGCTCCTCTCATGTTAACATTTTACATAACTGTAGAACGTTTATCTAAAGTAAGATATTAGCCCCAGAACAATACTACTAACTGAAGTATAAAACTTATTTGAATTTCAACAGTTTTTTTTCATTTCTTATTTTCCTTTTGTGTGCTCTGTTTATACCATGATCCGTGATTTTTTTTTTTTAAATCATGATTATCTTTTAAAGATCTGTGTGTCTCTTTTTTGAGTTTTTCCTTTTTATTTTGAAAAGTACTGTTGGTCAAGATAATTGGTCAGTAATCCATGTTGGTTTTAACAAAAAGAATTTTAACATTAAAACTACTGCAATATAAAACAACACTGTGCTTTACATTGAGGTTTTGTGTCATTATAGCAGAATTACAATATTTCTGATATACTCATGTTTGACAAGTTGAAACATTTGTTTCTTAAAGGAAGGTTTAATATACAAAAAAGGTACTCTTAAACTCATGAAAAAGTAAGTTTTACAATTTAAGCATTACTAGATGTTTAGTTTGCATGAACTCATAGTTAGAAATTCTGCAATAGAAATATCTACAACCAGCTGATTTGGAATTTGAAATTACAGTGTTAACATGTATACCTATCAAATTAAAATTAAGGAAATAAAATAGCAATATATAGAATGAATGTAGTAAGAGAAATTAACTCTTTACTGCATCGTTCAACTTATTGTTAATTACAGGTTTAAAAGAAGTTCATTTAACATCCAGAGTGTCTAATTCTTCAGGAAGTGGTGTAGTACCATTGTTCTTCCAGCACTTAAATATTAAACCTTTTTGGATAGATGGAAGCCTTATACAAAATCTACTTTATTTTAGCAAGGATTCCCTGTCCTTTTGTATAGTTGGTACCTTATTAATTTAAACTCTAATATTAATCAGTCTAAAGAGAAATTTATTAAGTGCAATTTGTATTTAGTTTTTTTTTTTTTTTTTTTTTTTTGGGGAATAAAATTCAGAGGTAGATCCTCCTGGAAGAAAGAAAGCAAGCGAATTTTTAAAGAAAGTTAGACTTCGGCCGGGCGTGGTGGCTCACGCCTGTAATCCCAGCACTTTGGGAGGCCGAGGGGGTGCGGATCACGAGGTCAGGAGATCAAGACCATCCTGGCTAACACGGTGAAACCCTGTCTCTACAAAAAATACAAAAAATTAGCCGGGCGTGGTGGTGCGCACCTGTAGTCCCAGCTACTTGGAGGCTGAGGCAGGAGAATGGCGTGAACCTGGGAGGCGGAGCTTGCAGTGAGATTTCACCACTGCACTCCAGCCTGGGTGACAAAGCGAGACTCCGTCTCAAAAAAAAAGAAAAAAGGATAGTTAGACTTGAATATTTAAGAATGTCCTTTACAGAGAACATCAAGGTCAGCTATAATATTAAACTAAAAATTATGAAAAATTAATAGATTCTGTTATAGAGCTAAGAATGATGAAATTATCAATACTTCCTTCTTCCTAAAAATCCAGATCAAAACTTCAGGTTAGGTTTCTAAGTTTAGGACATGAATATTATTTTTTCTGGAAAAGAAGATGAGTATATGTGTAATAAGACAAGTAGAACTGAGAGATTTTTTTTTAAAGTTTTAGTTCAAAATAACATTAATTTTGAGAGATTGAGGTGAAGAACCTTAACTAATGCTAATGCTTAGGAGTTTATTTTGATTAACATAGTTATTCTGACCACCACCTCTTCCTTCTTCAACCTCCTTAGAATCTGACAGTCTCAAAGCTGTCACACAAATTAGACTAATTTTGACACTTTGAAATGAAAACTTCGCCGGGCGCGGTGGCTCAAGCCTGTAATCCCAGCACTTTGGGAGGCCGAGACGGGCGGATCACGAGGTCAGGAGATCGAGACCATCCTGGCTAACACCGTGAAACCCCGTCTCTACTAAAAATACAAAAAACTAGCCGGGCGAGGTGGCGGGCGCCTGTAGTCCCAGCTACTCCGGAGGCTGAGGCAGGAGAATGGCGTAAACCCGGGAGGCGGAGCTTGCAGTGAGCTGAGATCCGGCCACTGCACTCCAGCCCGGGCTACAGAGCAAGACTCGTCTCAAAAAAAAAAAAAAAAAAAAGAAATGAAAACTTCAAGGAAGAAGTAGCCACGGACAGTTACGTTTATAATCAGTAGGTGGCACTCTTTCCTCAGGTAGCCCCCCATTCTCACATGGTGTGTTTGAAGGTTAAATGCCACCAAAAGTGCTGAGTCAGCTATAAAACTAAGTCCCTGAATTCCATCACTCTTTTAAATATGTAATCATTCAAGATTGAAAAAATATTAAGCATTTTTTGTTTGCTTGCTTGTTTTTGAGATGGAGTTTCACTCTTATTGGCCAGGCTGGAGTGCAATGGCGCCCTCTCAGCCCACTGCAACCTCCACCTCCCAGATTCAAGGAATTCTCCTGCTTCAGCCCCCCAAGTAGCTGGGATTACAGGTGCCCGCCACCATGCCTGGCTAATTTTTGTATTTTCAGTAGAGACGGGATTTCACCACGTTGACCAGGCTGGTCTTGAGCTCCTGACCTCGTGATCTGCCCGTCTCGGCCTTCCAAAGTGCTGGGATTACAGGCCTGAGGCACCACACCTAGCCTACATTTTTAAAATACTGAATTATTCAAAAGAAGTACCCTGTCAATATGTGCTTTCTAGGAAAACAGTAAAATAGGGCACAATTTGGAGTGACATCATTAAGATCGTGGTCCATCCAGTTTTTTCTTTTCATGCTAAGTGCCTAAATCACTGAAACACACTAATATAAAATTGTACTTTCTCCTTCGTTTTCAGATGTGTAGGAAAATAGTACTTAAAATGTTTTCATTATAATTTTGTAGGTAGACTAGATATAGCCAGTTCAACCTCTTAAAATTTAGACTTTTGATAGTAATATAAAATTTGTAGATATTATATGAGGAATGGTACCTAGATTTGAAAATTAAGCTTGGCTTATAGAGACAACTAGTTTCTCTCTCTCTCTCTTTTTTTTTTTTTTTTTTTTTAAAGACAGATTCTCTCTCTGTTGCCCAGGCTAGAGTGCAGTGGTGCAGTCTCGGCTCACTGCAACCTCTGCCTCCTGGGTTCAAGCGATTCTCATGCCTCAGCCTCCCTAGCAGCTGAGACTACAGGCATGCACCACCATGCCTGGCTAATTTTTGTATTTGTAGTAGAGACAGGATTTCACCATGTTGGTCAGGTTGATCTTGAAACTCCTGGCCTCAAGTGATCTGCCCGCCTCAGCCTCCCAACGTACTGGGATTATAGGTGTGAACCACTGAGCCTGGCTGAGACAACTAGTTTCCCTTAACAACTCACTGGAATTATCTAGGATTAGGAGAATTCCAGAGACTATATGATATTATAGCTCAACATTTAGTATACCAAAGGCATACCTGTGTAAATCTAGGAGTTATTTCCAGAGATTGTTTTAAGGAGCAGTCTTATATTCAGGGTAGAAAGTTATGATTGGATCTTCTATGAAGGAGAAGAAAGGAGCTGCTAAGAGTTTGGGAGGTTTCCTGGTAATAACTATTCTAGGAAATGTTTATGTTCTAAGGCAATGTTCACATGGGTTCTTGAGAAGGAACATGTTCAAGTGTGATGGATTAACTCTATAGCCTTTCTCCTCTTGTGCATGTAGGAAATCTGACCTGCAGTGTGAGTTGATGTCACAACAGATAAAGAAAGCACAGTATTTTAAAATCTAAAGCAGATTCCTTTCTTAGAAAACAATAGGAAAAAATTATAGGTGGATATCTTTGCTGAGATCTAACAGTTAGCTCATATTCCAGGAGAAAGAATGGCCTAAGAATCATTTCATTCTATCTAGCCTTCTGAAGCTACTCACTTGATATGCTTAGCACTTTGAAACTAACCTTTTTTTTCTTGGTTCATGACAGTTTAGTTCCAAACATTTACTATTTTCTCTTGTAACTGTTAGAACAGTTCCTTTTGACATTTAAGTTTTGCCTACATACGTATTTTTTTAAGTTGAGACCAAATCAGTGAAGTGTTGAGCAAGTATCATTTATGATGTGTGTATATTGGAACAAATGTAAAAGGGTTACAAAGATTAGAAACAGGGTCATAAAAAATGGTTTGATTTATAAATGCATTACTTTTGGTGCTTTATATAATGGCATATATTGAACTAAAAATTTGTATAGACAGTATGTCAGCATTTCTTAGTAACTTCTCTTGAATCCATTTTTAATATCTAATATTGTACAGGTTGGAGGGTTACATTCTTCAGGCCAATGCTATCCAGACTATATAAATTTATAAAATAAATTGAAAAATTCATTCCCCTGTATTCAAGACCAAAGCACATAAATGCTAATGTAGAGCTCAGAGGGGAAATATAGTTCTCCTGCATATCTGAGAAAATGTGAAGTCCTTTCAAGAAAATCTAATAAACATAATAATCATAGCCTGCTGACACTAAGGAAAAAGGACCTCATTCACTCTTTCTTTTATGCAGCGATTTACTGGTCCCTACTG